TAATAATAAATGTGTTATATTATGATAAATAATATTTATTAATATTTTAGTATACTAGGAATTGATTTGAGATCAATTTAATGTACATATGTGAATATAGAAGTGATATCATGCACACGTGCACGGGCCTGAATCTGGGAAAAACGACCAGTTAAAAATATATATATTTTTCACACCGAATAAGTTGGAATATGGAAAAACTTAAAAGACCAAAATTGTAGGTCTCTTCAAAAGCTTTCCAAAAAATCTTATATCACCTCATTCTGAGGTCGAATGTGAAAGTTATGATCAAAATACCGAAGATTATTTTCCTTGTCAGACTAGGTTTCCTGGTTCGGATCAAACGGGTTTACTTCGGGTTTGCATATATATATATATATATATATACATGTGTTTTCACAAAAATTATTATCTTTTCATCAGAGTTTCAAACCCTAGTAGCCTCTCTTCCTCTCTCTCAAAGACTAGCCCTAAAGTTGAGATTTTAGGAGCGTCTTGTGAGGCGAGAAGCGAGGAAAATGCGAGATCTACGGTGTTTAGAGACGAGGAGTTATATATATATATATATATATATATATATATATATATATATATATATACCTGTGTTTTTATGAAAATTATCACCCTTACATCAGAGTTTCAAACCCTAGCAGCCCCTCTTCCTCTTAACCCTAAAATTGAGAATTTTGAGAGCTTTGTGAAGCAAATATCGACACGAGCTGGAGATCATCGACGTGTAGCAAGGGGAAAATGGGTTGTTTGCACTTCTAATTGCTTGTTGTTTATCTCATAGGCTTAGAACGACATTTGAGGCAAGATTATCTTCATCCAAACCCATCCCCATAGTTAAATAACTAGTGTAGATGATTAATATAATGTTGAATATGTGTTTTCATGTTTTAATCTTAACCTGAGGTGTTAAAAGTCAGATTTTTATAGTAAATCTTAAATCAATGTTAGATTAGTAATATTTTCTTACTATTTATGATAGTATCATGATCATGATCATTAGGGTTATTCATAATTTTACTTATATATGAGAAATTTAAGTGATGTACTAAATATATATTTTCTGCAGAAAACTACAGCACTTGTGTAATTTTTAACTGAGATTTTAAGATAGAAAACAAACACTAAATTTAACCAAAATAGTTCAAAATGAAAGCTATATATATGTATCTAGTTCCTAAAGCAGAAAACCATTCTTAAAAAGAGTTTGTATAGAGTAAGATATGTTATGTTTACTAACAGCATGTCCTGCAGAAAAACTGCTGCACATGTATAATGTTTAACTGAAGATTTGGTATAACAAATGAACTCCAAACTTAAACAAACTTATTCCATTTGAAATATGTGTGAATCTAGTTTTCAAAACAGAAAACCATTTATAAAAATAGTTTTCCTAGAGAAAGATATGCTCGTTTTACTAACAGACATCCCGTCTATTTTTTTTCCTGCTCGTTTTGTGGAGCTTTGTTGCGCCGTTTTGAGATGCGTTCGCGGAGTTTTGAGCCGTTTGATGTTACACGTATAGTCATAAATATGTTGTTTTACGTATTTGAGAATTCCAAGAGGATTATGGTAAATTTTGATTTGATCATATTTGAATTAGATATCGTTCATATACATGTTGGATGTCGTTGATGAGCACAGCTCAGTACTATATGGGATAGTGCGTCGACATACCAGATATACACGATTTATATATGAGGTGAATCTCATTGATAAGCACAGCTCAGTACTATATGAGATAGTGCGTCGACATACCAGAGATACAAAGATTTATATGAGGTGGATATCGTTGATGAGCTCAGTTCAGTACTACATGAGGTAGTGCATCGATATTCCACATGTACAGGACATTGAGTCGGATTTTAGGAGGCTTGATCTAACCGTCCGTCCCGCACTAGGGTGCAATGAGGCTCATGAGCCGTATTTCTAGGATGCCTATTTGGTAGTTCGTCCCGCACTCATGTTACGCACTGAGATCGTGATGAGACTAATGTGCCGTGTACACAGTTTAGGATACCTACAGGGTAATCCGTTATACTGAGATAATTACTTGATAGCCTAAGTATGACAGATGCCGATTATGAATACGACCTATCATTAAACTATATGACTGAGATACGTTACTTTTGGAAGTATACAAAATTATGTGTTGGTATTTTATTCTATCTCTCCAGTGATAGTGGAAGATATTATAAATACGATGTGTTGATATCTTATTTCGTTTACTGTCTTCTTTACTTCTTAGTTGGAATCAATGATTAGAGATTCACAACTTGAGACATATGGTATATACATGAGGGTTTCCTTGTTTGGATTATTTCGCTCGACGTACCAATCTCGTGTTGTGGATTTCTAATTGTTGGTTTCATTAGATTGTCTTTTCTTAGTTCGGTATTAATATTTAGATATCTACAATTTGAGACTTATAGCATATACATGAGAGTTTCCTTGTTTGTATTATTTTGCTCGACGTACTACGTCTTGTGTTGTAGGTTTCTAAATGTTAATCCTACTTAGATACGGAGAAAATAAATCTAGGTGGACTATGCTTAATAGATAGAGCCTTCACTCCATCTAGCAGCCCTTCCCCTGGGGGTGGATGGAGGTAATCTTGCTGTAGCGCTCTGACGCTCTTGTTGTTGTTCTTTTTCTTTTAAACTACTTTTCAGGTAGTTTGGAGTTTCGGAGAGCCGCAGGGTGACGGAGTTCTGGCATAGTCGTCGTCGCGTATATTTACTTGTAGAGACTCTACTGTAGTTTTGAGTTTTATCCAGACATTAGAGTTTTGTTTTCATATTGTAAAGGCGGTGTGCCTTAATACGATTTTTAGTTGATTCATGTTGAGATATTTTCATTATTCAGATATCAGATGTATTACAGTTAAGACATGATTCTTTTTATTTATGAGATATCTCTTCTATATATATCATGTCTATTACATTTATTCCTTTTATTTTGCATGTTTTGTACCTGCACTTCTATTTGGTTCCACTAGAGGATATTGCTGTGATTGGTGAAACGTGTTTATGCACAGTGTGGGTGCATGACAGGTTTGACATCTCTGGTTTCACCTTAGACTGCAGCCTTGTGTGAACCCAGGGGCGTCACACTTCGGTAATGAGTTTGTTATTAAAATCAACTCATAACCTTCACAATCAATTCATAACATTCACAATTAACTCATAACCTTAACAATCAACTCATAACTTTCACAACCAATCCATAACTTTCACAACCAACTCATAACATTCTTTCATAACTAACTCATAACCTTAACAACAAACTCATTACAGTAAAATAACAATAATATTTAAATTTTCAGACTCTGCTTTAATCTCAAGTCATCTAAAAAAATTACAACAATATGTAAAATAATAAAAAATATAACACTCAGATTTAACCATTTCTAGATCTTGATCCTTACTTCTCTTTGTAGCTCACATCGGGAGTTGGCAGAGTTCCAACCTTTTTCTTGGGAACAGCGACGTTGAATCCGTCGCAACTCACCTCAGATCTGCCAGTGCCGTCGAATTGACGCTCTGTCCTTTGCTTGTCACCAACATCTTCAAAATCGCAATGTTCTTTGCCACATGAACGAACGCCAGGAAAGCTTCATCGTTGACGTGGACGTCGTTAAAAGAATTTGGAGGGAACTAGAATTTTTTTCCCCCAAAACTCATTTCTAATCATGCCTACAGTGACATCATAAAAAAAAGGTGTGTGTGTGGGTGGGTGGGTGGGTGGGTTTTTATAGCCTTCAAATATTTAAAAGTGTTGGGTTTTGTGTTTTGAGGGCTAAAAGAATTGTGAGTTTGACTCTAGGGTTTTGGGAACTTTGAAAAAGTCTTGGGTTGGGGGGAGATACTTGGAGTTATTTGAGGAGCTAGAAGCAATTTTCCCAAAATTTAAACCACAGTTTTTGCTATTTTTAAACGTCATAATGGAAAACAAGTATGCGCACATTAAAATTTTTACGATTTTAAAGGCCTACAATCTATGGATTTTTTTTTATTTCAATTCATTTCAACCAAATGATAATTAAATACATGTAATTAAAATTCATGATTTTATAAGTTATAACTCATAATTTTTTAATTTTTGTTTGTTTTGACCGGATGATAACTATGTATGTATACATAAAATTTACATGAAAATTAACGATCTTCGTCAATTTTTGTTCATTACTAGTAAATCGCAATTAAGTATCATACTTGAAATTTAGTCCTCCAAATTTTAATATTTTAAAAGCAGTACCCCTAGCCGCTTAAGCGTTATGTAATAAGTCTAGTTAGCGCCAGGCTTAAAGATTTAGGGGTCTACTTCCAACATATGAAGATTTGGAAGACTAGTTTCTAAATACCTGAAAATTTGATATGAATTAA